AATACGTAAAGCAAACATCGTAATTTTTCTGTGTGTTAGGGTAAACAGATCCCCTTCACAGTATAAGTCATATGACAACTTTTCAGCTTTATTGGTGGAGAAAGACCACAGGTGCCCTACAGTGCATTATTTTAGACACTAACGGACACCTGAGTAGAACCACCGATGGTCCGTTAGCAAGCTGAATCACTTCTTCACATGAAAGAATCCAAAGTCTCTATCGGGATTTGAACCTACAGCGGAGATGAAGTCAGCGACCTTAAGCACTCGGTCACAGACGCCTTCATAATCACCATAAATATTAAGCAGACGACATGCATTCATTTGGAAGACTTAATGATACTATATTTGCATATAATCTGAAGACTTTCTAAGCCCATGAGTCTCCGTCAGTTCTTTTTTATCGCTGCTTTCTGGTCTATTTTGCATCAATTAGAAGAGTTGATATGTCTAAAAGTGTTAGAAATCTATGACTAAATACTGCATTATTCAGTGAACCATTTTAAATCATTCGTTAAGTTATATTAAAATATTTTGTTTAGAAGACAATTTCAAATTGTTTTTTATGTTTTATTACATTAATGACAAATTATTTCACAATAAATGCTGTTTTCTTTACTTACTAAGTATCTAACATGTTCTAATTCCTTTAATTACAACATAATAAAACTAAGGCCTTTTTTAGCATTTTGTTTAATTTGTAAGTGTTAAATTGTCTTTAAAATGCCGCAGTGCGTCAACAAAATATTTAAAAAAGACCAAAATCATAAAAAGATGTCCTTAAAATATGTCTCATATTAGATAGTAAAAACGTAAATGTCGTCTGGATACCCAATATAGAAATTGTTATTCATTGAGCATAATTGGTTTTATAAATTTTATGTAAAAATATGCTTAGCTAATTCAGTTCGTTTTGCATAAACTGTATGACAAAACAGCATGAATTCAATAGTAATTCATTAAGTATGCACGATCTTTCCGCGGCAAGGTATGTTTTAATCGTGCTTGCCCCTAATTTGGTCTAAAAGGTAAACCGAATACATACATGTATATAGATGATATATCGACTTAATTTACCAAGTGCCTGTAAATGCACAAATTCGTTTGTATCATCCGTTGAAAATGTGTTATACATTATACATGCACGGTGCGTTAACTGGAGTGCAGGTGTAAGTTACTCAAGAGCATGCCCATTGTTTGGCTCATTTTGTCTGAATTTTGCTTATTGTAACGACAGAGAAATTTAAAGGACAGGGATTGAAATATCATATTCAGATGCTTGTTTATTGGTTACTTTTTTCTGGAGTATCATATTTTGACAACTTTATTTTTGCATATTTTCGCCCCATCACAAATCAGATAGCCTTGTGTTTCGATGCTCTTACCATTACTTTAAATTCGGTGGCGAACAAACACCTTTTGTTTTTAAATAGATTTTTTTTTTACATTTTTCGTCATAATATTAGGCATATAAACCGTAAAGGAAAGCTCAACCTTCAATTGTTTTGAAGCTTTTTTCTTACAACTGAATCTTCAGAAGAAGAAAAATGACGAGAAAAAATGACAATTGAACCACTTTGAAAAGTAATAATGGAATGTCAGAGAATCGTCGGTAACAGGCAAGGAAAGTTCAGTGGCACAATAAATTTTTAAAACCAGACATATATAGCTTCACAATATAGTTTAGTTTAGAAAAGTCGATGATGCTATGATTGAGCAATAAGTTGAAACATAACCTTGGGTGAACTCGACGTAAACCTTTTTACTTTCGTTTGACTAGGTGTTTCGAGGGGCTATTTCCGGTGAACGCTATACAACAGTGATTACACAAATTTATTTTACAACCCACAAAATTTACAAAAATAGTAGCACTTCTTTTACCTCACACCTTTGCTCAATCAATTCACCCAGCAGGCGTTAATCTTAATATAATGATTAATTTGTCTAAGTTTTTAACGAATCGATAAATCATGCAACGTTTGATGTATCGTTATCATCTCGCCAAAATCCCTTTGATACTTATTCAAATCATTAAGATAAACATGGTTTAATAACCATACCTTAATGACAAGATATTAAAGATTTTACGGTTGCCTGCTACTCTGTGAATATTTTATTCTCATATCGGTTATCAATCATACAATTAGAATATCTATCTATTTTAAAGACACGCGATCATTGACAAACATATATTATATATGTGTGTTGTCAGTAGGGACTAAGTTTTGATTTAGTAAAGTTTTACAGTAAAACATTTTCCTCCGCCGACTTTTTAGACACTCTATGCCGCCACAATAAAAGGTTTAACTGTATAAGGATGCCTTAATTGTAGTATCCCGTCTGTCTTATGTTCTCTTTTACTACACTCTGGCCACAAAGTGTCAATTCAACATGCATTTCTCGAATTTTCAGTTAAAAGAAAATAAATAATATGATTTCGACAATTTCCTGTAAAGCCAGTTGTGCATAATATTGACACCTCAATGGGCAATACAATAATAGCATCATGATCATCATCATCATCATTAGCAGCAGCAGCAGCAGCAGCAGCAGCAGAAGAATGGTTACAAGTTTCTTCTTATTATTATATTTTTGTTATCATTATTATTTTACTATTATTAATAACATTATTATTATAATTATTATCATTATCATTATTTTATTATTATTATTACGACTATTATTATTATGACTATTATTATTATTATTATTACTATGATACGCAATCAACGCACTGTACTTTTTTTTTGCACCACTTTTATATAAAATCATCATACTCTAAAGTGTATGTTTTCATCATCTACATATCTTAATAATATAAATAAGTGTGCATGTGTGCGTGCAAGAAAAGCTATTAGCAATTTTAAGACGATATTATTTATGAATAAACCATGATTATGCAAAAAAGTTTAAGCTTGAAGTGTATTCCCGACAAAACCTCTTGAAAAATGAAAGTTTTAAAAGCTTGGTATTGCAACGTATTAGCATAAAATTACATACCGTTTTTGTTATCGAACTTTCTGGATTGTAAGAAATTTGCATGCTGTGAATCGTGGGTAGATGAGATTTGCATAAATTATTTTAAAAAATCAAAAACACCAAAACCCACCCTGATTTGAATTCGAGTTATGATCAGTCGAAAATTTACCTTAAACTTAAATTTACCACTTTTTGCAAGGTGAAAACTATTTTCATTTGGGCAATTTTACGACTTTAAAATCTTTATAAGTTAAGTAACTTAATTATCGTATTTTATAGGGGTAAGACATAGGGCGCCTTTAAACGCATTACTTAAAAATCTGACAGTGTGTAAATCATACTTTTAGAATTATATTAAAACAAAATCCATGAAATCTGGAAAACAATCTAATTTTATTATATTTATTAAGTGCTGTGGTGTAATATAAAATAAACAAAAAAAACAAACAAAAATTATGCCTTATATAATTCTAAAATAAGATTCCTTTCCAGTAACCTCCCTTTCATAGATATGAATATGGTAGTCTTCCCTACATAGTCCATGAATATGAGTATAGTAACCTCCCAAAAAGTCCCAACATATTTCTTTGATATCCTCAAATACGACTCTTGTTACGTCCTGTCCATCGTAAAAAGATATGAAATTTTTTATATTATTGTACATTTCCGAAAATATGATTTCTAACTCCCCTGATGCATTGTTCACTATTATTATAAAAGGAGAAAAAAAACCTGCTTTCAACATATTGTGTGTTTACTGTTTAGGGAGGAATTTATGGACTTTTTAAACGCTTTTTCAACAATGCATTTAAAAATTGTCAAATAAGGAAAAATTATCTGCAACAGCCATATGAATTATATCAAACTGCATTCCAATCACTGACGTGCCACTATTTTGACATAAATGAATAAAAATAATAATAATAATGATGATAATAATAATAATAATAATAAAGAAATAAAAATAATAATATTTAAAAAAATAAATAATAATAATAATTAAAAAAGTAATAATAATAATAATAATTAATAAAAGTAATTTTAATAATAATAATAATTATTATTATAATAACAATATCTAATAATAATAATAATAATAATAATAAACAACAGAAAAAACAACAACAAAAACAAAAATCAAAAAAGAAAAACTTTACAAAAACAAAAAAAAACTCCGAAAATACCAAGACAAAAATAAATACGCTAAAAAATTCTACAAGAAGGAAGTTATATGACTTTGAATTTTGATTTCAAATGGGAGACCCTTAACCACGATTGTAATGAACTGAACACGTAAATGACTGCTACCTCCATCAGTAACAGGAACGCATTTTAATTATGATGTGATTGAGATGATGGTGACATGAAGTGATAAGTCAGTTTAAAATAATTATGTAACTAAAGGGAGGTAATAAAAAGTTTTGTGATGAGAGTAGCTTCCAGAGTTGTCGACCTCTCATTATCATTTGAGGTTCGTCAGTTGACAGTTAACACATGACAATAGTTTTTATCATAATATAGGCACAATGATGTGTTAGAAACATACGATTTTGTCATTTTTTAATCATTTATACGTGACCAATCGGACTAATTAGTTCATGAGATGTTTGCATTTATCGTAGGGTAATTAGGAGCTGAGTTTATCAAGATTGTAAGTATTTCTTTGTACCTAGATTTATTACCGTAAGGTCAAATCAAAATAATACTTCCATACCATTACCTTGATAAATAATGTTTAATGATAATACTATTTTACTTGTTATTTCACTTCTTCTTTCGGTTTTCTTTTTAAGATTTATTTATTTATTTATAATAATTGACTCCTAAGCAGAAAAGATTCTGCGCTCGTTAAAGAAATGATATATAATAAAATTTAAATTTAATGTAATCAGCATTAGTTTTTACCAATATTTGATTTGGCAGCGTTAAATCAAAATAATACTTGCCATATAAATAAATACCATTTTACTTCTCCTTTCGCTTTCAAGTGATTATTACGGCGTGATATGCTTACGACACGTAACTGTTTACACCGCTTTTGGACTTCCGATGTAAACAATGCTGTGACATTCAACGAATAATTTTCTTCATTTGCACGTGTTCACTTTATTTTTTGATACTTTACGGGTAGAAACAGTTAGACAACATGGCAAATATGAGCCAGGATCAACAGAAAGTTCTGTCCACGATGGAAGAACTTCTTATCGAAACGTTTAACACGTAAGTGCAACTTTCATACCACTGTTGTGAATATGCGACACGGTATTTCTTTAGATATAATTTCAATCCAGTAATAACAATTTGATGTTCGCGTGACAATTTAACCCTTAAAGCCTCTTAAAGATATTTATAGTTTTATGATCATTTTTAGATTAAATCATTGTTGAATATATTGAAAGTAAGATAGGTCTTTATAGATATTTCCATCGAAATCTAAACCGAAAGTAGATTACCGTTTGCAAACAAGTCATTCTGTAGACAGCGGTATTTATTATATATGTTATGTTATGTTATTTATTAATTTATTTTAAATTCATTTTGATTAAAGCTGCATGCCTCCAAATGGGTCAAAATATTTCAATTAAATCAAACTTGAAATATGTACTACGACTTTAGGAAACGTAAAATGATTCAAGATTCTAGTTTACAATATTTTACATGTTATGTGCGGTAAATGACTGATTACTTAGTATTAACAACTATATTTCTACTGCCTTACTAACGCAGTAAGGGTTATTTATGCATTTAAATAAGGACAATGCACTCAAATATATTCAATTCAATCATCATTACTTTTTTGTATTTATATAAATACCAGAATTATGAATTACTAGTAATTACTATAATTTATAAATAACTTAGAATTATTATATATAACTTATGAAAAAAAATGCAATGTACATAATGTACATGTTATAATGCTGCTTACTGTGTCTTGGTTTGATATGAAATTAGACCGGACATTACCTGTATATTGGACGCAAGTAATGTTCATTTATATTTCCTTAAGAATGTTTATCGTTGCCCACCCGCCTTTTAATGGTCTAGATAGTTGAAGGTCTGTAATTCAATAAATAATAGTGTGTGTGATAGATTTTAGTATCAGACATAACAACAGACTACAAAAGAATTATTATTATGGGTGTTTTTGGCAAATGCAAACTGCGGTTCATCCATACATATTTAAAATATCTTTAAAAATTTAAAGTAATTCACTTTATGAGTTTTACCATAATGATAAATTAATCTATCACACACCCGTGCCGGTTTTGCGACTCCGTAAATATGCTATTGCGCGGTTGTGCATATATTTGACGTGACGTCATTAGCGTTAAATGTTAGCGTTATACTTTAAGCGTGTCAATGAAAAATGAATCTTATTTCACTTTAAACGGTCTTTATGTTGGGTATGTGATAAATAGAATATTAAATTCTTGTAAGTTCATTACTGAATTTATTGCACTCGTTGAATAAATTCAGTATTGAATTTACACTCATTCAATATCCTCTATTTACACTTTCACATTTTAGTTTAAAGATTATTTTATTTATATCCTATACATTTACATAATAAGGTCCATGAAATGGAATTTACGGATTGAGTAGGAAGCTTAAAAACTCACATTTTCTAGACATCTTTTAGAGTTTTTAAGTCATTCATTTCATAATTTATTATATTAATAAATTAAGGGTCCCTCTCTAGTTATTACGTCCAGAATTATATATATTTTAAAAAAAAATTAGTGTTTGTTGAAATCGAATATTTACGAATATCTGCTACTTGGGTTAACAAGTATTCACATGACATTGTTTTTTTTCAAATGCAAGGGACCGAAAGTGCGTCCATGGCCGAGTGGTTAAGGTCGTTGACTTCAAACCTATTGCCCCTCACCGCTGTGGGTTCGAATCCCGACAGTGACTTTGGATTTTTTCACGTGAGGAAGCTATCTAGCTAGCTTACGGAACGTCGGTGATTCTACTCGGGTGCCCGTTCGTTCCTGAAATAATGCACGGAAGGGCACCTGAGTTCTTCCTCCACCAGTAAAGCTGGAACGTCGCCGTATGACCTGTACTGTGTCGGTATGACGTACAACCAAATTAAACAAACAAACAAACAAACAAAAGACCGAACATTGATCTTAATGTTTGTATTTTACGTGCAGTTCATATCTGCATGCTCGGTAACCCAGGCTATATACCGTATACCAGACTATTACCAGTAGTGTAGTATATGATGATTTTTGCAGGGGGTTGCCCCAAACCCGAGACATAATATAACTAGTACAATCCCATAATGAGTATTCGTCTTTTTATATATAACAGAGTAAAGAAGACGTGTTCAGGGAAATGTTCAAAACAAAACTACGACGATAACCATCTAGTGAAAAGCGAGGCAGTATGCATGGACCGCTGTGTAGCCAAATATATGGAACTGCATGATTTGATTGGTCGACGGGTAACACGTGACAAAGAGACTTATGACCTACTTTCTAATCCGCCATACAGCGTCAAATTAGAGGACACTGAGAAGCGTATAAATTGAAGCAAAAAGCGGATCAGGAACAGGCTGGGTGACCTTTCTTAAAATTAGTCCTTTTTTGATTATTACATTTAAGTCACTTTAAATGCCAGGGTCTTTTTCAAAGTGAGTTCTTTAAGACATATGGACTAAAGCAATGACTTTATTGTGTGACAACGTCAGTTTTTAAGAAGAAAGATGAACTGCTTTGGGATTAAAACATGTCTTTTTGTACCAACGTTTTAATCATCTATTGTTTTAAATAAAAGGATATAATATTTATATATTTTCTCGTTGCTTTAAATTGAGATTTTTATTTTAAAGAACTACCTTGAATGATCCAATCATTTATTAAGAAGTTTAAAAAGGGGTGGGGGAATGAAATTAATTAATTAATTATATGAAATGTAAATCATGATTTTGAGATATAATAAAATATAATATCTAAAAATCATGAGTTAGCAATTATTTAATAGCCTTTTCATAATATAATTTTTATTCGTGACTTTATACATGCATGTATATGGTAAGTTAGCAATTCAATTTAATAAATCTTTTTACACCCTTTGAAAGAAAGCAGTAGAAATAAGTAATTATACATACTAAATGCGCATTTCGTCGACTGAATGATGACCGTAATTGTGATAAATGTTTTAAACTAAATGTATAAAACACGATAATTGTTGACAATTGGTTGACAATTGACTGCTTGTTAGAAGCAGCATTTCAGTTCTACGAGAGAAAAATGAAAGCAACGGAAAGGTAAGATGTTAGTACTATGTAATTATTTCCTTTTGTTTTTCTAATATAGGTTCTTTCAAAATATTGAGTCTTATAAATAGAAGTACCGTTAGATATAAAAACTTACAATGTAAAATTGTAAATTATGAAAAAAAGATTACAGCTCTTGCTAGGAATCGAACCCACGTACTAGAGGTCTGTAGATGTTGCAGCTATTACGTTAGTTAAAGCGCTGATTGACTTAAAATTCATGGAAAATAAGATTGATAAATTGCTAGTAACTTGATAACCTTACTTTAAGGTTAGTTTGTACTGATTCATGTTAGTTCGATTATTTTTGAGCTATAAGCTTATAAAACACTTCCTGTAACCAACCAGTACCAAGCAATGAGTGTATAGTTCCTTGCTCACAGAAACAACGGCTTGCCCCTGACTAGGTTTGAACCCACGCGGTCAGCAATCCTTAACTTACTTGTCCGATGCGATAACCACTCGGCCATGCTGCCGCTAAGTTTCTCTGTAAAGAACCTTATCAATCAAATTATTTTTATTATCATTTTATCCGCATCTTTAGCTCAATAGAGATGGCATTCGATTTGATTTGTTATTCAGGAGTCGTTTGTTTAATCATAGGGCGAGTCGAAATGTCCTTGAGTCTAATGGTCATTTCTCTTTAAACCGCTTATACAGAAATCATTTGAGGTAATTAGTCGTTGACTTGCGGAGAAATTGGTAACTACTTGTTGGTTATACAAGAAAGCCGGTATTGTAGTTCCACCGGTGAGAGATGGCCTAAACATGTTGAACTCGGCGTAAAAAACAGAAAAAAAACCAAACAAACAAATGAACTTTAAGAAGTAAAAACAACAACAACAAATCCATAAAATCATATTTTTTATTTAATGTTATGATGGATTTGTATAAAATTTTAACTTATCAAGTGTCTTTTGTGTGAAAGTCTTTCCTTGCAGTTTTTCTTACAGGTTAAAAGAAAGTTCTTGTGTTACCCAATGGCGAAGAAACAATGTTTTAAAGTTACAACTTTGGTTAAAAATAGATGGCCAAATAACGCAGGAGAACAGGTATCATAATTCAAATTTTGATGTTTTAACTTTAATTTGTTCAGCCTGTACATTAAATGGACTTAGCGGGCGTCCATGGTCAGGTTGTTGACTTCAAACCACTGGCCTCTCACCCCTGTGAATTCGAATACCTTTCGATTCTTTCATGTGAGGCAGCTATCCAGCTAGCTTACGGAACGTCGGTTGTACTACTCGGATGTCCGTTCCTGCCTGAAATAATGCACGGAAGGGCACCTGAGGTCTTCCTCAACCAGTAACTCTGAAACGTCGCCATATGATCTATATTGTGTCGGTGTGACTTAACCCAATCAAACAAACAAATCTTCTTAATGCAGGGTGTTGAAAATGCCTGACTTGGACAAAACGCATTCATTCAGTGCGTTTTCGGTGAATATCTTTTTAGTATTTCATGGATTTACATAAAGAAGTGCTTTACGAAAGAAGCAATTTCTTCGATTGCTACCAATGTTTTGTCTCCCTCGTTGTATGATTAATACTATTCGTATTTTCCCAACTGATTCAGTTGATGAAAATTGTTTACAAAAGTATACGGATTAAAAACTGTCAGATCTGAAACATTACAGTGAACCTCAAACATAGTCGATTACAGTTGAAGTGAGAGCTTTCAATTTATTTAGGAGCTTATGTATTTATTTCACGAAACTCTATTCAGTATTAAAAAGAGCATAACGAAATATCTAACAGAATCGAGGTTTTTTTCAGAATTCGTCGCCGTGTACTTTCTCCAGAAGTCACATTGTTACGTCTTCATTGTTTGTTTTGTTAGACTGGTTTGGAATTTACATTTACTTTGGTACGTCGTTGACATTTTGCTAAACTTACAGGGCGGATAGTATAGAAATTATTTTTATGCCTCCGAAGGGTGGCATATTAAAATTGCACCGTCTGTCTGTCCGTCCGTCCGTCGGTTTGTATGTCTGTCTATGTGTGCGTCCCCACTTCATTCGTGTCCGGACTGTAACTTTGTCATACATCTAGGGATTTTGAAATAACTTGGCACAAATGTCTACCACATCAAGACGATGTATCGTGGCCAAGACCACGTCCCTATCTCAAAGGTCAATGCCACATTTTGAAGTTTCACATAATCACAATAAGAGTTAATATGTACACACATTCGTGTCCGGACTGTAGCTTTGTCATTCATCGATTTTTTTAAATAACTAGGCATAAATGTCTTCCACATCAAGACGATGTGTCGCGTCCAAGAATTACATCCCTACCTCGAAGGTCAAGGTCACATAAACATTTTGAAGTTTCACATTATCACAATTAGAGTTAATAGGTACACACAATCGTGTCCGGGCTATAACTTTGTCAGGCATTCGCACGATTTTTAGCTCACCTGTCACAAAGTGACAGGGTGAGCTTTTGTGATCGCTTTTCGTCCGGCGTTCGTCTGTCCGCCCGCCCGTCCGTCGTCCGTCCGTAAACTTTTAATTTAAACGACATCTCCTCATAAACCGCTCAGCCAATTCCATCCAAACTTCACAGGAATATTCCTTTGGTAGTCAACTTTAAAAATTGTTCAAAGAATTTAGTTCTAAGCAGAACTCTGGTTGCCATGGCAACCGAAAGAAAAAACTTAAAATATCTTCTTTTAGAAAACCGAAAGAGCTAGAGCTTAAATATTTGGCATGAAACATCATCTAGTCAGTGTTTACCTAGTTTGTTCAAATGAATGCCCTGGGGTCAAAACTGGCCCCCGCCCCGGGGGTCATTGATTTTCCTTATATCAGGGAAAAAGTTCTCCCGGGTTTAATATATATATTTTTTGTAACGGCTTAGATCATTGGAAGCCTAAAACAATTCTACACGGAACTACATTTCCCTTTTTTCGAAAAAATACATCTTAAATGAATAACAAGACAAAACACAAACAAATACTTACTATTAGCTGTTTAAATCGGCCTTCTGCTCTACTTCGGAAATGCCGTTGTACACCACAATTTTGAAGTGGAGCGACAGTTTTCCGGGCGTGAATAAGAGTGTATAGGTATTCACATTTGTGTCCTGACTGAACCTTTGTCATGCATCGAAGGATTTTAGAATAACTTTACGATATGTCGCATCCAAGAATTACGTCCCTTCCTCAAAGGTTAATTTTGAAGTTCACTTTATCGCAATTAGAGTTGTGGTACATGTATTGATTGGGTACACACTTTCGTGGCCTGACTGTAACTTTGTCATGCATCGAAGGATTTAAAGTAAATAAAAAAATGTCTACCACATCAAGACGATATGTCGCGTCCAAGACCCATGTCCCTACCTTCAAGGTCAAGGTCACACTTTAAGCTTGAACGATACACATTCATATCCGGACTGTAACTTTGTCATGCATGGACGGATTTTAAAATAACTTGGCACAAATGTCTACCACATCAAGATGTTGTGTCGCGGCTAAAGCTCCTGTCCGTCCATACTTGCACAACAATCATGTCCAGACTATAACTTTGTGATGCATTGAGTGATTTTGAAATAACTTTGCACAAATGTCTATCACATGACAACGTGGTGTCGCGTACAAAATCCACGTCCCTTCTACAAAGGTCAAGGTCACACTTATATTTTGAAGGTTCATGCTATCACAATAAGAGATTATATGTACACACATTCGTGTCCGGACTGTAACTTTGTCATGCATCGAAGGATTTTAAAATTACTAGGCCTAAATGTCTACCACATCAAGATGACCTGTTGAATGTAAGACCTATGTCCCAAGGTATTAAGTTTGCTATAAATCGAACTTCATTTTACAAAAACAATATTAAGCAATTAGTTACTTTCATTCCCTTTTCTTTTCATGATACCTGCATGCTTAGCCCTTTTCGAGGGCATACTTCACTTGCGTGACAGCTCTTGTGTCTCAAATAGTAAACAACGACAATAACAAAACACAAAAAATCCTAAACATTAGATGATGGTGTTGGTGTTGGTAGTTGTCACTCCGGATCAAGGCAGTAGGCCACCTTTAATTAACCAGAGCACAGTTCAACCACCGCATAGTTCCTGGGCATGTTGTAAAACAGTTTTCACCGTCCGGAATTCGAACCTGAATGGAATTCGAACCTGAATCGCCGGATTAACAGTCCAATGCTGTTCTTATTGAGCTAAACCACACAATCTATTTGGACATCAGGCTTTTATCTGCTAATTATGATATGAATGTAGGACAATATTCACCATATATGTATATGTAAACTCTTATTTTATTACCTATGACTCAGATAGAAAACGAAGACACTTTAGAACAACCAGCCACAGTATAGAGGTAAGACCATACATTTTTTTAAAATAAAAATCAAAATCGATAACATATTAAAATCGTTAAAAATATGTTTAGATTTCATTGATTGTTTGAAGATTAATTTGAGAACGATTTCAAAATGGCATTTCGTAAATCTTACTTCTTTCTTTTCATTATGTAAAATTCCGT